TGTGATGATATTTATAGCTTCAGCACTGTCATAGAAAACTTCTATACTTTTTAGATTGTGGAACCAACATAATTCAAGGCCTTTATCAATTCCTAAGACTTTCGTTATAGTTGACGGGTAAACACCTAGCTTATAACTGAAACCTGAGATTCATTGGCCTTGGTGATCCCACATAGCTCCTCCATAAGATGCATTACCACCAATTGGAGTTGAGCCATCTGTATCTAATCGCACAAAACCTTCTCTTTGTGGTTTCCAAAAAACTTTTGATTGTTCAAATTTCCCATGAGGATTAATTTTCCCAGACAGATGCCCATCATTTGTTGCTTTCCATATGCATTGACAGGTTGTATATTGTGATCCCAATCAAATAATCTTTTACATCTGCGTACCCATAATTCCCAACAAATATAGGTGAATAGTGTCGGCCAGCTGACTTTAGAATTATTGACTGTGCTAGGATTATTTTTGTCATTCCACTTTAGCCACTCCATTCCTTCTAAGTTGTTGAAGCACGTCCTTGACTCCGGATTAAGGAGGTCAGTCCAAATTTCCTGTGCAACTTCACAATCTCGCACCCCATGCATGGCCGATTCAGCTGACGTGCATCCAAAAGGGTAAAGATCTGACTCCAAAATACCTCTTCTCGACCTTAACTGTAAAGTATGAAGTTTGTTCTTAGCTAGCAGCCACAAGAAGGTCTTCATTTTCTCCGGCACTCTCCATTTCCAGAAACATTTACTTGTGTTGTTATGTTGCTGAACATTACCTACAAAAAGAGAAGAATAAGCAGATCTAATAGAAAAGGAACCATCAGTGGATGGTTTCCAAAAATAAATGTCCTCTCCCTCTCTCTCTCTCTCTTGGGACATGAGTGCTAATGATCTGATTAACAATGTCAGGATGAAGCCAAATCAGCATTTTAGGAATGTCCCACATACCCTCAGGTGAGAAGAAAGCAGAAACCACAGCATTAACTTGAATAGGTACTTCTGGTGAGGAGATAACATAATTTATCGAAGGTTCTTCAAGGTTGGACCAGCAATCATACCAAAAGGAAGTTTGGCAGCCAGAAATGAGCCTCCTCCCTAACCTTTGGGTAATTAGCATCCCCATAATGGTATTTAGATCTCAACACATGAACCCACAAGGAATTTCTTCTAGTAAACCAAATTCCAGCATATTTTAAGCATAAAAGCTTTATTTTGAGTCTCCCAATCCTTTACTCCTAGGCCTCCTTGGCTTTTGTTTTGTTGAACATCTTTCAGATTTTTTGATTATCATCTTCACTACCCCATAAGAATGATCGATTGATCTTTTCAATTTCCTTTAAAATCTTATCAGGTATTAGACCAGTCTGCATATGGTAACTTGGCATTGCAGCAATCACAGATTTGATCAAGGTAGTTGTCCCTACTAAGTTCAGGAATTTACCTTTCCAACCTGCGAGCCTCTTTCTGACTTTATCAACAATAGACTTATAAATCTGGCAAGAGGTTCTTTTATGGAGGAAAGGTATCCTGAGGTACTTTCCAAGGTCTCAAGTTAGCATCACACCCAATTTCTGACTCAGATTCAAAGCTCGAGTAATGTGTACATGTTTGGAAACGCACATGCATGTCTTGTTCTTGTTAACTTTTTGTCTTGAAGCTTGGCAGAATTTTTCTAAGCACAAATTCATCATTTCCACTTGGTCACTAGTTGCCTCCCCAAAATAAAATAAAGTCATCCACAAAGAAGAGGTGGGAGATTGGTGGATCATTTTTTGTTAATTTAATTGGTTTTCAGTTGCCATTACTAACCTCATACTCTATCAAATAGTTGAGTTTTTCCATGCATATAGTGAAAATATGAGGGGATATAAGATTCGCTTGTTGAATCCCCCTTGAAGAGTTAAAAGATTCTGATGGTTCCCCATTTCAAAGAATTTTGACTTCAAACTTTCAAAGCATGCTTGATTTAACTGTAGAAGACTCCCTTGGATGCCCACTTCTTCAAAACAATGAGTACCCATAATTCCCAGCAAATATAGGTGAATAGTGTTGGCTAGCTGACTTTAGAATTACTGAACGTGCTAGGATTATTTTTGTCATTCCACTTTAGCCACTCCATTCCTTCTAAGTTGTTGAAGCATGTCCTTGACTCCGGATTAAGGAGGTCAGTCCAAATTTCCCGTGCAACTTCACAATCTCGCACCCCATGCATGGCCGATTCAGCTGACGTGCATCCAAAAGGGTAAAGATCTGACTCCGAAATACCTCTTCTCGTCCTTAGCTGTAAAGTATGAAGTTTGTTCTTAGCTAGCAGCCACAAAAAGAGAAGAATATTTACTTGCGTTGTTATGTTGCTGAACATTACCTGTAAAAAGAGAAGAATATGCAGATCCAATAGAAAAGGAACCATCAGTGGATGGTTTCCAAAAATAAATATCCTCTCCCTCTCTCTCTCTCTCTCTTGGGACACGAGTGCTAATGATCTGATTAACAATGTTAGGATGAAGCCAAATCAGCATTTTAGGAATGTCCCACATACCCTTAGGTGAGAAGAAATCAGAAACAACAGCATTAACCTGAATAGGTACTTCTGGTAAGGAAGCAACATAATTTATCGAAGGTTCTTCAAGGTTGGACCGGCAATCATACCAAAAGGAAGTTTGGTAGCTAGAAATGAGCCTCCTCCCTAACCTTTAGGAAAACAAATTCCGGACTTTGCAAATACTTTTCCAAATCTCAAAAGCACCTGATTTTTGTTTTACCTTTGGGTAATTAGCATCCCCACAATGGTATTTAGATCTCAACACACGAACCCACAAGGAATTTCTTCTAGTAACCAAATTCCAGCATATTTTAAGCATAAAAGCTTTATTTTGAGTCTCCAAATCCTTTACTCCTAGACTTCCTTGGCTTTTGTTTTGTTGAACATCTTTCCAATTAACGGAGTGGATTTTTTGATTATCATCTCTACTACCCCATAAGAATGATCGACTGATCTTTTCAATTTCCTTTAAAATCTTATCAGGTATTAGACCAGTCTGCATGTGGTAACTTGGCATTACAGCAATCACAGATTTGATCAAGGTAGTTCTCCCTACTAAGTTCAGGAATTTAACTTTCCAACCTGTGAGCCTCTTTCTGACTTTATCAACAATAGGCTTATAAATCTGGCAAGGGGTTCTTTTATGGAGGAGAGGTATCTTGGGGTACTTTCCAAGGTCAAAAGTTAAGCATCACACCCAATATTTGACTCAGATTCAGAGATCTAGTAATGTGTACATGTTTGGAAACGCACATGCGTGTCTTGTTCTTGTTAACTTTTTGTCCTAAAGCTTGGCAGAACTTTTCTAAGCACAAATTCATCATTTCCACTTGGTCACTAGTTGCCTCCCCAAATAAAATAAGGTCGTCCACAAAAAATAGGTGGGAGATCGGTGGATCATTTTTTTTTTTTTAATTTAATTGGTTTTCCAATTGCCATTACTAACCTCATCTAGCTGAGTCTTTTCATGCAGAGTTAAAATATAAGGGAATAGAAGATCCCCTTGTCGAATTTCCCTTAAAGAGTTAAAAGATTCCAATGGTCCTCCATTTTAAAGAATTTTGAACTTTGAACTTTCAAAGCATGTTTGATTTAACTGTAAAAGACTCTCCTGGATGCCCACTTCTTCAAAATAATGAGCTATACTCAAGTCTATTATAGGTTTTTTTAAGGTCAATTTTTACTGACAAAAAATCATTTTTCTTTTTAGTCTTTTTCAATGAGTGTATGAATTTTTAAGTTATTATAATATTATTATTGCTCTATCTCCTTACTATAAAACTGTCCTGACGTTGACCAATAATTTTGTCCATAATCCTTTTTAATCGTAGAGTCAGCACCTTTGAAATGATTTTATAACTCACATTGCCTAAAAAGATGGGCCTGAAGTATCGAATGGTTTCTTACTTGTCAATCTTGGGTATTAAGGTCAAGTGAGTTTCATTAATGTCTCTATATAGTCGGAAACGCATAATTAAAAAAAATATCTACACGGTTCCTTACGTTCTTAATGAATTTGCTTATTTTAATCGGCAACATCGCATCACAATCACATCAGAGTTAGTCCTTTAAAAACAAAAAAGCATATATTCTTTTATTAAAAAATATAAAATATTCTTAATCAAATTTTATATTAATAAAATAATTATTTATTTTTAAATTAATTTTATTTTTATTATCTGTATACCTATAAATATCTTAAAATAAATACTCCCTCTATTTCTATTTGTAAGAAAAAAACTACATTATATAGTTTAAAAAAATTAATTAACTATATTAATTGTGTTTGAAAATAAAAAAATTGAACTACAATTCCCTTTATGAATGATAAAATTATGAGAGGTAATTTAAAAAGTTTGTAATAAATGCCTATTGAAAATATGATTTTTCTTATATAAAAAAATTAAAGGTAATAGTTTCTCTTATAAATAGAAACAGAGAAAGTATAAAGTAATTTATTAAATAGGGACACTTTTAAAGAAAAGGCAATAATTATATTTTAAAAAACCAAAAATATTTTATATTTTTTAATATCTAACTCCTTAAAAAATATTTTACATTCGTTAACGGAGGGAATAATTGTCTATAAGTATTATTATTAAAATTTAAATAATGAAAGACTTCATACAATTACTCATTCAATCTTCTTTATAAATCATTTCTATCAATTTTATTAATACTAATATAAAAAATATAAGAAATAAAAGTGTGTAAAATTTCAAATATATTTTTATATAATAAATTTAAAAAATAATATCATAAAATTTTCTCTTTCATAAAGAATAATTTTAAAAATAAATTTTAAATATTATTTAAAAAATCACACTGTAATTTATAAATAAGATTAAATAGATTTTTTTAACTATGACTTATCAATAGATCGGATTGAGTATAATATTTCAGCATGGATATTTAATTCAAAGTCATGCAAATTTTATGATAAGTACACTTGGAACGCGGACTCATAAACATAAACATTTAACATGTTCACGTGGAAAATGAGAGAGGCAATACATATCTTATGTAACATTCGGGAACAAAAGCTACACACAACACAAGCATACTCTGATAATTGCGACACATTTCGTGACCCACACTACACTAGCTTGGCGTGTCCATCTTCAGATCTGAGCTAAGCGGCGGATATCGATCGGGTAAGCATCCGATGCAGATTCCGCACTGTAAGCTCTCCTTGCAACAACGGCGTTTCCGGCCTCTGTTGGATGAAAAGCATCCCAAAACAGGTGCTCCCTCCTGTTCGCGCATGGAGTTTGAAAGGGCAGACACGTAATCTGGCCGTTGTTCCTTCCTACTCCGCAGCACCCAGCGTTTGTAACCGAAAACCCTGAAAATTCATGTCCAGAAGGGATAAAAACGATGAGGGTGAGTACTAATTTCATGGAATTCTCGAGAAAGTGACGGGAAATGATCTAGGGTGGAAGACTAGGCTAGTTACCGTAGGCTGTAGGATTGTTCATTACATCTTGAAAGATGCCATAAGAATTGATGTAGATGGCCTTTGCATCTGGAAGCTGGGTGTTAACCTGATCAACGAGGGATTTCAATCTGCTGTTGAATATTTGGTTTGCTGAATTGATTCTTTCAACACAGGTTGAACCATCTTGGCTATTCTGGGCCAATTCATTGGGGCTGCACCCTATCTGACCAATCCCAAATAGCACCAATTTCCTTGCTCCGTAGTTATACAAATTCTGAAAATCACAGAAACAAGACAGTTCAGCTTGTGATTGAAAATGGTTCGCTGAAGTTCTGCGGTTTAAAAAAGGGGAAGAAACAAAGACAACATTGGACTCACCTTGATTTGCTGGCTATAGGCTTCGATAAGAACATCAGCATACTCGTCTGTTGAGAACTGCCTGCTGCTGGTATAGAATTGAGGCATGAAATAGTTGTTAAGGTAATCATTGCTACCCATTCCAATTGAGTATATGCACTTGCTCAAGTGATTTGCAGCTGCGTCCTCGCTTCCCAGTAATTCTACCACTTGAGACACTGCGTTTTGGTAATTCTGCACCTGCCCACTAAAGCTGATACGCCCTCCCTGCAAATAAAAGATGATTAAGGGACAGCATTGAATGAGTGCAGAACTGCAAATGAAAAATAGAATTGGTCACATGGCCATAGAAGCTAATAGAAACAAAAAATATATATACCAGCTGTTGTCCAGTTTCTTCTCTAATCCCTGCAGCTGCAGACGCAAAATTAACTCCTTTGAGTATGTCTTGGCCTCTGGCTGCAGCATAGGGAGGTATGTAATCATCGAACCCCAAAAGCTCAGCTGTCCAATTTTCAGCAGTAAGTTAGACAATAGAAAAAACTTGAGCACTGTAAATACGGACTATTGCATCATGGTGGCTTTCGATCTAGCATTAAAGTTTTTCTGGCGATGCTGTTTTTCTTTACCTGCTTTTTGTCCCTCTTAGCTTTTTTATTGAATGGAATATTAAATGCCACAAGCAAACTCATGTGCTTGGAATTAAAGGGAGGCACACACCCCAAGAACTGTAAATCATATGACAGAGTAGAACCAGAAATCGTATTCAAGATTTATAATTTAATACATTTACAACAATGTTACTTGTCTGAATTATTTTTATTGGTAAGACGGAATATGCCCCTTAGAGCCTTGCTTAAAGTTAACATGCCTTCGGCAGGTATTTTTATCTGAATTAGCTTTGATAATAATTGTCATCCTGTTGCTATTAACCGGAGAGCTTAATCATGGGTATATAGTCAGGCAGAGCATTTCAATGAACAATTATGATTACAGGTGAAAGATAAAGGTACTGAGAATTGCAATGATGACAATCACAAAGAAAATTCAAGAGGAACACTAATGTGACTTCTCAGCATTAAGTGCCCAAAACGTTTGCTTGTGAATTAAGAAAGTGACTGGAACGTGAAGTGACATGTTTAGTATGATGAAACTTTTATGAATCATACTCAAGAAAGTGACTGGGGAACAAACTTACCAATTACATCAACAGTAGTCTTCCCATTGGAAAACCTTCCGGTCGGTCCACCATTAAAGTCAATCCCATAGGGCAGATAATCAGCTCTGGCCAAAGATTGCAGCGCATTGTTATTCCCATTATCCACCAGAGAATCCCCGAAAATGAAGTAGCAAGGTACTTGTGGTTCAGCTCCAACCCCAGCAAACAAAGATAGAACCATCGCCACAGCCACCGCACTCGTCATCGACTGCCTTATGAGCTTCCCGGCTGCCATTGAAGCAAGAAATGCAGAAACGAATGGTAGCTAGTAGTGGGAGAGAGATGGAAAGTGGTAGTGAGTTTAGTAGGTAGATATGTATGTGTGAGAGTGAATGAGGAACTTCAAAAAGTGTTCATATATAGTAGCAGGTCCTAGCTAGGGCCATCCTTAATTGCTTTTACGGTTGGGAGTGTTTGTTAGGAGCATTAAATAGACGCGGATATAATGTGAGACTGTGTGAAGAGAGCAGCGGCACCCTCACCTCTTTCATCTAATCTGATATATTCTTGCTATGCCCTGACTTTAATGTATAGATGTAATTTCCAGTGATGGTATTTATAGGAATTTGAGTGTAAAATACTTGATTGACAATCAAGCTCTGTATATTGCAAAATGATGTGTCTGTTATGGGCTTTGGCAGCACGGATGGGCTCGTGATGCTTAGTTCTGCCACACGAGGCACCATCATGTTATTTTGTCCCGCATTGAGGATGAAATTGTAATGAGCGAAAGTGCTCCCCACTTTGTATTTAGTCTAGTAGGTAGGGTAAAACATTATCAATCCTCAGCGATGTTGCTTGGTATTTGCTAGTTAGGTTGTTCACAACTTCACATAACTAATTTCTTCTAATGCTTCAAAGACCGACCATTTTTGTCAAAAGTAAAGATTCATGAGAAAACACTTAGCCAATATGATCACAAATCATGGTTGCCTTCACTCTAAATCAACCACTGAAATTAGCAGTATGAAATTTGAGAGACTGATAATGGCAGAATATATCTTCTCATTCGTTTTCTGTTAATTGGTGTCAGGTCAACTTCTTTTACAATGCCAGACTCTGGTGAACAATTATAAGACTTAACTTCGTAATGACACAGTCAGTTTATTAAGTGGCTGGAAGAGAACAGGCCCTGGAAGGGAGGAAGCCAATTCAGTCAATTCATTCATCTCAATTTATCTGTCATGTTTTGCTGGATTTTATGATAATGACCCTGATGATGGATCACGTAGTCAATTTCAAGTTTTCAACCGATTATGATAAGGACCACTTATGACTTATATTTTAGCTAGGAATATTTTGATACGTTCAAATATTTGTTTCTCTAGCGCCCATCAATTATGTTGTAACAATTAACCACCCTAGAATGGAAGAACTTATATCTGTTATGAATTTTTATTTCTTCATTGGAAAAAGTGTGTTTATATATGGTACTATATACTCCTCCCTCAGTCCAAGATGACATATACCAGTCACTGTCTCATTAAATTTTTTCTAGTGTCGATATAGATGTGTGTAGATACAACCATGTGGACTTGATACTTAGTACTAAAATCATTTGGTCTCTAAACTGAGCAACATCTAGACAGTAACTGGGTTTTCTCTCCTCGCGGGATAAATTCTGAGATAAGTATGTTATCTGTACGAACTTCAAATTGTCCATATTTAATTCCTTTTTACGTGTAGGGAACAATAGGCGTTTATGCATCTGCATACCTATTATACGAAAACTTTTATATTAAAAAATTTACATATAGGTCCTATATATAAAAATTAATTACTGCAAAATTTATTAATAATTGACATGAGATTATTGACAATAAATTTTGTAATAATTATTTTTTTTTTGTGAAACTTTAATATATTTCTTCCTTTATGTCATCAGTATTTTTACTGATACGTCACAATACTAGGGGTTAAGAAGTCTCAAATAAAAAATGCAATCAATGAAAGTATATAAGAACCGAGTAACCATGTCATAGTAGGTCAGAATAGTTAATCACTGAAACCGTAGCTCTCAGCGTCGCACCGTATGGTGGCATGGGGCGAACATTTTATTACCCTTGTCAAAAATTGATATTTCCCTCCTTTCAAATTATAAAATATTTTTAAATAATTTTTTATATATTAATAAATTTTATTCAATATATTTAAAAATTTTATTATTTTAAAATAAAAATATAAACTTTTAAAAACACATTTTATTTAATATATTAAAAACAGATAGGAACAGAAATTAAATAGAAAAAAAAAAGAATGGATACTATTGGAAGCTTATGTAAAGAAATTTCAATTTTCTCAAAGTGTCTTAAATTTTGATAAATTTAATTTTTTTAAAAGTGTCTTATAATTTAATATAAAAATAGTATATTTTAAAAGAAATATTGCGAAAAAAGTAGTAATAAATATGTTTATATAAAGAAAATTCAGTAATGCCCATAATTTATACTGGCGCTCTGATGTACGTATAGCTAGAAGTGGCAACCTTATTTAACTGTGGTTATCAATATTAACCTCATAATTAACTTGTAACTAAGAATAGCAGGGTGTTGATAACACTCACGATTAGGATGGAGTGAGGATTTAATTATGAGTGTGGCTGAAACTATAGAAAATAACTCCTATTCTTTTTGTTTCAAATTATAAGATACTTTTAGATCAAATTTTACACATCAATAAACCTCATTAAATACACCTAACAATCTTATTTTTTCAAAACAAAAATATAAATTTTTAAAAATACCCATCATTTAATATATTAAAAAGAAAAGGGACAAAAATTAATTATAAAAAGAGAAAGAGTAATATTGAAATTGGCGCATTAATGAAACCTTAATTTATCCAAAGTGTCTTATATTTTGAAATAGAGAAACTTCTTTAAAAGTGACTTATAATTTGAGACAGAGGAAGTGCTATATTTTTGTCCCATATTTAAGACCAAAATAAAATTTTAAAACTCTACTTTATAACTAGAGGGAGAAGAAAACAAAAGATTGAAATCAGATGGGAGGGTGATCTGAAATTGAATTCAAGAATTGGGATCAGTGATCGGATGGTGATGAAATATTTAATGAGGTGGTGAGCATGGCATGGTAAGGTCAAATGTTGGGTGAGGTTCACAAGTTACAACAACACGAGATTACTACATTGTATTGGAACAATAACCCCCCAATCAACCTTCGTTGACTTGAGCTTCCACGTATAGAAAATTACAGATGAACGTAAATGCTGATCAGATTACACGAGATCAGATGAATATTTTGCTGTACGAGGAGAGAGGGAAAAAGGACTGATAAAAGGATAAACATTTAAGTTATGAAAGGGAATTAAAGCGAAGAGAAGAATGGGGAGGTAACCAAAGGACCAAAGTTGAATGAAAAATGAATATAGGGGTTAAAAAGAAAGGGGAATGAGACTTGTAGGTTGGAAAAATCACTTTTGGCTCCCATATAAAGAATTTAAATATAAAAAAACTCATAAAATCATAAATTTACTTTAAAATCTCATGTTCTTTACTGAAATTCTTAATTACTGCTGGATAGTTATTAAAAAATTTCAACTAAAAATTTCATTAACAACTATCCAGCATTGATTAACAACTTCAATATAACAAATTGATAATTTTAGTTGATGACATGGGACTTCAAGGTTTTGTGAGTTAATTATTAATGCTGCTTAATTGTCAATTGAACAATTCTATTAACAACTCTCTCGTATTGATTGACAACTTCAATATAACAAGTTGACAATTTTAGTAGATGATATGGGACTTCATGGTAATTCTGTAATTTCATGAGAATTTTTTATTTTTAAATTTCTTACCTGGGACGTAAAAGTAATTTTCCCTAATTATTATTATTATTTTTTTTGCCAAAACAAAGTCATTTTTATCAATAACCAAAAAAATAAATAAAAAATTCGAAGTCAAGAAAACAAAAAGTTGCAGTCTAACACAAAGAAAGAAAGAAAGAAAGAAAGAAAAATCACCAAAAATAAAGCCTAAAATAGAACTAAAAAAAAAAACCCTGAAAAAACAAACAAACTCAACAGAGCAAAACAACATTGATATCCAATACCACTTCTAATTAGTTTTATACTTTTATTAGAAATTCTACTCCTTTTACCCCGCCATAGTCTCTTCTTTGTTTGTTTGGGTAAAAACTTAACCCTAGTAGACTTGAAGTTAAAGAGTTTACCAAATCATGGTATGATAATAGATGGGAGTAGGTAGAAGAATTGAATGAATAATTTGGCCAAAGTCAGACCAAGTAACAATGCTGGGCCTTGTGTTCGGAATTCGGATTATTAATTTATTATGCATTTAAAGCAAAAAGTCTCTTGTTTTTCTCCTCCATTCTATGCATCGCTTTCTCCTTTTCAACTTGTCTTCTCAATCGGTGATCATAATCATTTTGTGAAATTAATTCTTCCACTTACTCCTCCATCGAATTAAACAGAACAATATGTACTAGAACATTTTTTTTCCCCTTGCATTCCAAATTATTTTTCAATAATGCTAGCTTTGCCTTTGAGGTATCGAATCAGTCTATGTTTACAATAATAATAATAGTAATAATAATAATAATAATGTCAATCTACCCATTTTGACTTGCTCAAGAAGAGTTCAAGGCATGGACAAAACTGAGTTTAACGCATTTACTCTATCTAAAATACTCTATCAAATACATTTCACAAATTATGTCATATTCATAGTGTCATGTTATTCACATTCTCTCTCTAACAAAATACGTATTTTTTTATGTTAAAAAAGATGTGAGAAGTACTTTAGTAAAGTGGGAAAACGTGCGAGCATTAAGAGAATAAAAAAAATTAATTAATTTAACTTACTTTTCTAATTCTTAATAAAAGGCAAATTTTAAATTTTTTTATTTTATCCTTAACACAAGGCAAATTTAGCGTATTTAATTTTTTTAAATTTTAACACTTGTTTAGTTATTATGATTTGAATTTTTGGACAACAATTTATTTTAATTATTAATTACAAAGAATGGAAAAAATAAAAAGTTACATTTTTTTTAAAGAATTTTAAGGATATATACCTATCATTTCTTAATATAAGCGTGAAATTGATCAAATTTTCCTTCTATTAAGAATTAGAAGGAATATGTTTTATATATATATATATATATATAAAAGAATTAGAAGGAATATTTAATTTTCCTATGAGAGCATAAATGATCCTCTAGAAGTTCATCAACCATAACGAAGGAGCACTAA